AACATGTTAGTCTCATTTGAAAGAGAATTCAAAGTAATCCATTCTCAGTTTACAGTGGTGCTCTAAATAAATGCCGAATTGTAATTTACATAATTCCATCAGTTTCACTCCGAATTGGCCCAAACAACTTGGTATACGGAAATTAGACATGAAATAGAGACCAACCATATAGTTGTCCATTTTCCTTTTGGGGTTATCTGCGAGAACAGCTTAATTTTCTGGGCAGCGGAGAAAATCACTTTTTAGGGTTACCTTATATGGAAAATTCATCTACGTGACATGAAAGGGCTTGAAAAATAGTGCACATTCATGTCTTGAACCAAAGGAATCTACCTTGTAGTTATTGAGACACAGGGCGAGCAAGTTGCACATTTTGACCCAAAAGTGAAGAAATCGCAAGAAATTCACTCAAAGACACAACTTTGTCTGCCCTGTATCTCAACAACCACGACGTGGATTCCTTCGGTTCAAGACATGAATGTGCACTACTTTTCAAGCCCTTTCATGTCACGTAGATGAATTTTCCATATAAGGTAACCCCAAAAAGTGATTTTCTCCGCTGCCCAGAAAATTAAGCTGTTCTCGCAGATAACCCCAAAAGGAAAATGGACAACTATATGGTTGGTCTCTATTTCATGTCTAATTCCCGTATACCAAGTCGTTTGGGCCAATTCGGAGTGAAACTGATGGAATTATGCAAATTACAATTCGGCATTTATTTAGAGCACCACTGTAGACATCTGGAGACGAAGTTTTCAAGGTTGAGGCCATTTTGAAGCATTTTCTGAAGTCCACAGCTCTCATTTGGCGGGCAGATCGACCATCACCAAAATACGCGACGTGGGGGCCCAGCCGGTACCGGTTGTTGCTGAGTTTTGCGATGGCATCAAATTTCACCGGGCCGGCTGGTCCACGAGCCTAATTGCTAGAATGAAGAATGTTCCATACCGCGAAGCTGTTGGATCCCCTATGTACGCCTCAATGGGCACTCGGCCCGACATTGCGTTCGCAGTTTCAACTGTCTCCCAGGTAAACGACAACCCCGGCTGGCCTCATTGGGAAGCCGTAAAACACATCTACAAGTATCTCAACGGAATGAAGAACTTGGCGTTGGTTTATGGGGGAGACAAACGTGGTTTACTTGGCTACATTGATGCCGATGGCACCCCACAAGATCATCGCAGGGCCATTACTGGGTATGTATTCATGGTTGACGGAGGAGCAGTTTCTTGGTCTTCGAAGAAGCAGGAACTTGTTATGCTCTCAGCTACCGAGGCAGAATACGTTGCCGCCACCCATGCCGCTAAAGAAGCTATGTGGGTGCGCAAACTCATTGGGGAAAAATTCCGCCCTTTGTCCTCGCCGACCACACTGTTCAACGACAGCAAATCTGCAATTTCCCTTGCACATGATGGCCATTACCACGCCCGCACGAAGCATATTAACTTGCGACACCACTATATTCGCTGTATCATGGAGGCCGGTGCAATCAAGCTTAATTATTGTGCTACGGATGAAATGACCGCCGACACCCTCACCAGCCCTCCCGAGTGCTAAAGCTAAACATTTCGCTCGCGCTCTTGGATTATCCACAGTTTGAGGGGGAGTGTTGGAAATACAACCCGTGGTCATGTTGACTATGCGGAATGCATGTGGAATGCACATGGACTGCTCTATAATTTTACTTCTTTTATAGTCTGTTCTTTAGTAGCACCCCATCAATTATATCTTCCCATACAAGGGTAGGCTGGGGGATTAAATATCAGCTGCTATGGCCCAAAACAAGTACTACAGGTGCCACTTTTAGGTAGACAAACCACGGCTTTTCTTATATAGATTTATATTTATTACAGTATGCCGATATCAAGAAGATTTGTTCCAATCAATGTTGCACGTGACCACCATCGGCGTTCCGACCTGACTTTAGTTGCCAAGGATCCTGGTACATACTACAAATATTTGGATTGATTTTACATGACTTTCCATATTTTTCATTCTTATTTCCCTGTGGCCCTGATTTGAGCGAAAAAGGCGCAGTTTTGCGCTGAAAGACACCAAGTAGGATTAAAGATGGGTAAAATCGCAGAATTCTAGTCATTCGAAGACACTGAAAGGCATACAAATTTTATTTTGAATTTACAGAGATTTTATGGCGATTTTCGTGATTGTTTGATCAATCCGACACTGGCCTGCGTGATGCGTGACCTCGACCAAAATTCGATATCGACAAGGGGGTGCGTGACGCGTAACTGTCGATTTGATCGAAATAATCCAGTAAGGTCGAAAAATAAATGATGGAATTAGGAGACGAGACTACATCAGTAAGAAAGCGGCTTCAAAATGCTGTCGAACGCGCTTAGTTTCGGAACATTCTGTCAAGAATTGAGCTCACAGCGAGCTCGACAAAAAGAGAAGTAATTAATTTGGTCTTATTTACAAAATGATCACTAGTGCCATTAACTTTGCAAACAGCGTTTTGTATCTATTGCTCTTCGTCGCTCTGATACGGTCTCAATCAGGCACGCGGAACGGCAACCCTCGAAAAAGCCCCCGCCTCGACCCAATTTGATATCAAGAACCGTATCAAGAGCCAGACAGCTGTCGCCCCTGCCCCGGCTGCTCTCCCACTGCAACCCATCCCCGCAGCCATTCCCCCTCCCGCGCCGTCATCCTCTGCCTCCGATAAACTACTCGAGGTTGCCCTCACGATGATGATTTCGCAGCAGCAGCAGCAGCACCAACACCAACCCCTTCCTGCACCCGCTCCTCCAGTAATGCCCCCAGTTCATGCAACCACCATTCAAAGCCCTGTTCTATCAGCCCCACCGTCTCCCGCAAAGTTTTTCCATCGCTATGTTCCGCTTCAAGAGTTTTGCGAGCATTATCAAATCAACCAGCACTTTGTCCGCTTACAGAAACTGGAGTACGAGCCGGCTGATAAAGGAATTACGAGTTTGGGGCGCGACGATTGGCAAAAATATGCAGAATTCTCGAAATTGGCTTGGGATAAAGTACTGGAGAAGCACGCACAGTTTCTGAAGGATGTACAAGCTGGGTTGTGGGATTAGTTTTTCCTTTGCTACAATTGGACTTCATTGCATTGTTATTCGTTGTTATCACTCATGGACATGACGTAGAAAGAAATTGTAATTTGTTGTCAATAATTGTACAATTATTCATTGTCTCTCACAATATAACCAGCATGATTGAACCAAGCTCAAGCCTTCTCGGGAGTGATGCAACCTGTCGACTCGAGGAGAATGAGAAAGGGGTCGGCTGCGGCTCTGATGGACTGAGCGTTCGCGCGGAGATAAGCTTTCCCTGGATACGGTGTGAATAGCGATGGGGGAGAAATCACGGCGACTTACATGTGCTGAAGGACTCCTCGATGGGGTTGAGGTCCGGCGTAGATACAAGAGCATCATTCCTGATGGGAAAGTTAGTCGTGATCCTATGGAGTACGCAGATTGTTCGACCAACCCTGAGCATTCAGAACTTCTTGGAGTGCGTTTGTGTGGTAAATTCGGCGGTTATCCATGATGAGAACACTGCGGTTGTCCGGAAAGACTCCCATTTCTGGTACCTCGAAATAATTAGTGGCAGGAAAGTGCGTTAGTCAGGGAAATTCACAACGTCCTCCACGATAAAATCAAAGAAGTCAAAAGAATCCAGCGAACCTTCAACCACCCGTTGCGCTATGTAGCCGTCGATACCCATCGCTGCAACCAAAGTATACCGGACGCCTCTGATGAAGAAGCCCTCGAAATCTGCCGGCATTCCAATAGGTGCGCGGCCATAACGGCGCGCCACGTCGTGCTCGTTTTTGCTTGACTCGTCGATGGTGATGAATTCACGACCAGTGCCTGAGAAACTGTGCTGAATGGTGTACAGAAAATCTCGGCGGCGCTCGCGTTCAATGGCAATCTTGTGAAGTAGTTTTCGAGTGAGGCCGGTGCGCTCGAGGGTTTCTTGTCTTGTAGAGCCGAGATGGTGATTTGGATGTCATGGTGGATCAGAAGCCACCATTTCAGTTCAAAGGTACGTGTCGGCATGACGTGTGAAATCTCTTTGATAGCGGTCAATGCCGCGAGACCGATGATGCGAGGGCGACCCATGATGGGCGGCGGCGGAGGGATGACGGAGCCAAACTCCTCGAATAACTTTGCCCAGCGATAAAGACTAGCCTGCGAGATGAGAAGAGTCGAGCAGATTGCGGACCTATCCCAGCCCAGCTCCCACAAACGGAGTGCGCACTCCTTTATATCAGGACTGAAACTGCGGGAAGGAAAAACACTTAAGGTGAGTACCCTGAAAGTACTCAGGCCAACTACTTTTGAGCACTCCCGTTGAGTACCCAAGGTGCTCCGGTGGAGTACCAAAGTGGCCGATTTCATTCTCAGATAGAGTACCTCGGGTACTCAGCGTGAGTACTCCAAGGTACTCGGTCTAAGTACCTTGGGTACTCAGTGGGAGTGCGAGGTACTCATTCTGAGTGCTCAAGGTACTACGTCGGAGTACTTTAGGGTACTTAATAGAAGTGCTCAGGTACTCTCATACAGTACTCTTTGCATGCACCCAAAATCCCCGATAAATCCATATATTAATAGTACCAAAATACATGTCTACACTCTGCTCTGTCCAATATGCTGTCAATGTCGCTCAATCACTCAACCTCACTGCATGTATCGAATTAAGTTCAAATAAAGGCATCCGTAAAGATACTGATCAAAGAACCGCATCTACTTTCGGAATGAATCATCGTGTTATTGTCCAATGATACGGTAACACCCCCCTCCCCCCGATCAACCCTGTATATCGAGATGCAGCGGGTTCGATTCCCACAGTGGTCGCTGGCCTGTCGACACCCAAGGTTCATGAGGACATAAGCAATTGCGACAGCTGAGAACTCTCACCGCGGTATGCATTACTGCTTCATCTCCATAGCGATAGTTGATTACGCAGCCTGCTCTCGTGGAAAGTTTTTTTTTTACCATGTTATCGTCCACATAGTGTAACGGTAACACCCCTTGATTGCTTACATCATGCCATCTCTTGAACATCAAGGTGCCGTGGGTTCAACTCCCCCTGTGGACATTACTCCTAAGGACTTCCTTCTTTTTGGTTGTACACCCCAGCATCCAATGTCTCTATTCAGTCCCACTTCGGATGGTGGGGAGCAACAAAGATAGCTTAAGCAATATTCCAATGATAGTTCCTACCATCATCTCAAAATCGCGAGCTTACTACGGCTGGCTTCCCCCCTCCGCACACTCTCAATTTGTTCCTTCTTCCCACCATCATCTCAAAACCGCGAAGGCGTACTAAGGCTGGCTTCCCCCTCCCGCACACTCTCAAGTGTCGCCGGCTGCGTAGTGGACTTGCCCCCGAGTATCCTCGTCGTATAGAGAATTTCAAAGAGAAATAATATAAAATCTCGAGACAACTACATCCGCTTTCATCCTCGCGCATCCAGCTCTTTTTCGCTCCCTGAGCCTCTTTCCGCCGTCCCAAGAACTTTGAAAACGGTGCGTTCAAAATAATTCAATTGATGCGCTGGCTTTATAAGCATCCCGAGCGCGCCCTTCACTCAATTTGTCGAATTAAATTGATCCGCAGGCTTTATAAGTATAACAACTATAGCCCGCTGTCGCGGCAGAGCCCACTAACCTGTCTCTAGTGAACTGCCAGTAGGCAGTGAGCACACATCATTTATCTTTTAAATGTGTCTTTGAAAAATCAAAACATTCACTTGCGAAAAGCCATCTTGGATGTTTCGTAGACGTTTATTTTATGGGTATACTTCCACATCTTAAACAGAACTCCCAGCAGAATGGAAAGCACAGGGCAAGGCCACTGAATGTTACGGCGGCCGCCAAGCCAAATTGATCCATGATCCCCATTTTTAGCCTCCATTTTCTATGCCATCCTATGATAGCCAGCGAAATTTTGGTTCGAACTGTCTCTTGGGATTTGTTTTGATGCCCCTGGTGGTTTTACACGATGGCTGAGGGCTCTGCATGTCGATACAAACAAATGCATGTGAACCTCGGCAAAGTGGGCCGTTGGATGCTGGCACCAAACAAATGCACACAAACCTCGGCATGGTGGGCCGAGATTTCCCACCAAAGCAGTATTTTCACCACTGTGCAACCATTTCAGGCCGGATTTTAATGGGGTCTTGCTGGTATCATACCTCGTCCGTGATTCCCACAGACTTGGGCGGCCATTGACAATTGTACTCACCCAGCCCATTCAAATCTACTACCCAGGCAAGCACAGCCAAGGCGTAACTTGTTGCCCTCGTAATCGATGAGCCTAGTGCAACAGGTGGCAATACAATGTGGCCGCAAATCCTCGTGGCGTGTGCGTTGCTCAACCGAACAATACATATTGTCTTCCTTGAATTCACCATTGATTCAATCGGGTGTTGTGCGAACGTCTAAAATATTGCAATCACAATTTCCATCATGCGCAAACACTTCAAAATCAAATTGTCTCCTTTTCAATCTCCGCAGAAATATTCAGACAACTCGATTCATCGAAGGTTAAATTTACAGTGGGACCCTCAAAGCAGTCATTCCATGCCAAGGAGCCTTATTCCGCCGAAAAATTCGTACTAATTGCACCTCTGAACGAGGACAAACCAAAATATTCCCGAGGGTTTAAATTGAGAACTGCCCAAATGCGGAAATATTACACAACTCGGTTCCCCGGGGGTTATTTTTTTTCTGAGTCCCCCAGAGCACTCATTCCATACCCACGAGCCTTATTCCGCCAAAAAATCTGTACCCATTCTATTTCTGAACGAGGGCGAGCCATTAAATTGATTGCCAACTGCCCAAATGCGGAAATATTACACAACTCGGTTCGCCTGGGGTTAATCTTTTTTCTCAGTCCCCAGAGCACTCATTCCATGCCTACGAGGCTTATTCCGCTGAAAGTTCTGTACCCATTCCACTTGTGAAGACAGACGAACCAAAATATTACTGCAACAAATGCAAAAATATCACACAACTCGGTTCGCCGGGGCTTAAATCTTTTCTCAGTCCCCCAAAGCACGGATTCCATGCCATAAGGGAGCACTTAACATATTTAACCTTTCTGCCGACGCACGGCCATAGAACTTTGTATTTGAACGTCCCGTGGGCTGAGGTCCTGTCCCCGCCATTTTGAACCCCGTGCTTCAAGGATTGCAAAAGTTATGCGGATAGGGTTTCGGAGGGAATTTTCCATGTATATCAACCGACAGTTGAGTGTACTACACAGTCTGAATTGGATAGAAATCTTTCCCAGCCAGTTCCGAATCCATTACTGTTGATTTGCTGCTCGCGAAGAGGAAGATATCCCAAATTCGGAAGGTAGTCAAAATGGTATAGCGCTCCCATTTCCTCGTAAACTTACCTGCCTGTGACATGGCAAGATCCATGCCTTCCGTGCTGCAGACTTGATGAGTTTACTAGTCAGAAGGCGGTCCATAGACGACCGTAAATGGTACGAAGGGTTGAGTGTGCGTGATGTGGGTGAACCAAGGGGATTATATGTCGCAGTATCACCGGCTGCAGTCGGAGCGCACGGCGACCGAGGGCGCGGTTGTTTGGGTTAGAGACCCCACAAATTCCCCGGCTCTTAAAGCAGTAGGGTTGAAGTAAAGGGAGGCTCTATTCCGAGAGAATGACTCACGGGAAAGGAATTCAGTCCAAAAAAATGAGGCATTCTAGGGACGCAGCATGACTGTGTGCCGTAGAGCAAGCCGAGGACCTCAGAAAGGGTTGGAGATGCCAGGAGTCAGGATAAGAGGCAAGCAATGACAAAAAGTAAGACGGAAACTTACAGTAAAAAAAAGGAATTCAGGAAGAAAAAAAAAAAAAAAAGATGTGGTTGCGATGCAGTGAATGAGACGTTCTTATATCACATGTTGGAGACTTGGCAATGAATCCAAAGGGCTCATCGGAAAGTTCGTGAGGGAGTTATCATGAGGCGCTGAGAAAGTCGTAGTTGCATTTCCCGGGGTTTTCCACCCCGGGGACGTTGTCAGAATGAAAATAACCCGGGAGCGAGTGATCGTGGGGCGCTGAAAAAATCACTGGTGAATTCCCCGAGGTGGAAAATCCTGGGGACGTTGTCAGAATGAAGACAAATGGAGTGGGGTACTTACAAAAAAATAAACTCCGCCCCAAAAACGGGACACGTCTGGGTCAGAACGCGAACGGTGCTCCTGCTGACCTGAAAATGCTACAGGTGAATTCTCCGGGGTCGAAAACCCCGGGGGTGATGTCAAAAGCAAAAAAAAAGTGCAGTTGGGGACTTACAAAAAAATAAACTTCGCCCCAAAAACGGGACACGTCTGGGCCAGAACGCCAACGGGTATTCCCGCTGGCCTGAAAATGCTACAGGTGAATTCTCCGGGGGTCGAAAATCCCGGGGACGTTGTCAGGATGAAAATCAATGGAGTGGGGGGACTCACAAAAACAATATTTGTACCCAACAATGCGGCGCACTTGGTCAAGCTCGCGAGCGAGTGATCATGGGCCGCTGAAACATTCATAGATGAATTTCCCGGGGTTGAATACCCCGGTTCCATTTTGAACCCCGTGCTTCAAAATGCAGGAGTCCAGCGCCATCAGTTCAATGTATTTCGGCTAGACTCGGCAAGAGTCAGGGGGCACTTGGCATATTTAACCTTTCTGCCGGCGCACGGCCATCAAATTTTGTATTTGAACGTCCCGCGGGCTAAGGTAATTATCAACCCTACTGGCCTGGCCTGGCCGATGATACCCAGATGGGTTATAATAATCTGACCCCTACAAAGCTGGGTTGGGCTGATGGTGGATATAATATTACGGCGCCTACAAAACTGGGCTTGGCTGACCAGTGGGTAGATGGGCGATAATATTATGCTGGTTGCAGCCTACGGCTCAGCCCAGAGCAAAAATATTATTATTTATGCTACACCCCAAGGCTCGGCCGTGGTGGGGATAAAATTATGTGATTTACAAAGCTCGGCCTGGCTGACCAGCACCACAGAGGCAGAATATATCGCACTCACCTACACAGCAAAGGAAACAATTTGGTTTCGTGCTTTTCTTTCCGAACTCTTCGGACCACTCGCGCATGCTGAACTCGGACAATTTCACACACGTACCAAACACATCGACAAAGGTACCATTTTATCCATGAGAAGATCGACAATGGCACCCTGGAAGTCATTTATTGTCCAACCGCGGAAATGACTGCTGACGTACTCACCAAGACTCTTGCCGCATTCAAGTTCAAGCCACTCATTCATGCGCTTGGATTAATTTCGGCTTAAGGGGGAGTGTTGGAGTTCGGGCTTACTCAGTTAGCGAGATACATTCAACTAGTTTCTTCTTGATGTCTCCCGGTGCTTGGAGAAGCTTTGAACTGAGGGATACTCAGTGTTAACTAAGTTGTTCCTCCGTCATTTATACGGTCAATAGAAGGATATTAGTGGTCTTGGTGATCTAATAAGAGGATGCCTACGCCAGTAAGTCAGTAGTAGCCTGCGGGTATTGTGCTTAAATCACATGGGTTTTCGGTCATTTCTGGGCCAAATCCCTCCAAATAAAATGTTGGCTGACTGTTCTCTTTCAAATTGAGGGTCCGCTTATCGAGTGGTCGACTGGGTGATGCGGAAATGCAGGCAGTGGCCCGATCGCTTCATGGTTGCGGTCGTACTACGGCGCAGCTTCCAGTACTGCATCCTGCACACCTTCCGTGCCTGCTTCCCTTCTGGAAGCATTAATCTGCCTTCCACGGGGCGTCCCCGGTGTCTCAGAATGTCGGAGCCAGCAGGTTGCGAACACGTTCATCCTTTTTTTGCACCTTACGCAGATTTAATTTTGCAGATTGACCATGCGATTATGAATTGATGAATGCGATTTACATTCGAGGAAGTGACAATGTGTCGCACGGTGCCAACTCCGACATGCTCAGCGACATGCATGCAATCCAACCAACAGCCATCACGGCATGTACCCCGGTGTCACTGAGAATGTCGGAGTCAGCACGTTGCGCATACGTTCATGCTTCTTTTGCACTTCCCGTGTCGGAATTAGCAACACCAGATTTAATAT